AACATTACCCATCATCTGGCATGCAAGTGTTTAAGAAGGTTTTAAATGAGATTTTTATGGAAAACAAGCATTAGAACAAATTTTGCTTAAGCCAACCTTGCTATTAGTTGCTACTTTTCTCAAAAATCTGGTTCTGCATGTCAAGATGTTACCTACTCATCATATTGCTGGCAACTACACAATCCTAGGGAGAAAGATGCACAAAAGAAAATTCTGGATCGCTTCATTCCAAAACAAGAGTAATCTCTCTTAGCATGTGTGTACAGCATTGGGAGACAAAGAGCTGTTGTTGGAAAGAGCAGGACACCAGTTGTGTTCTGGCACTCCCCCTTTGCTAAGGTTCTACTGTACAAAATAAGCTGTCTTTAGCTTGTCTTTGAAAACAAAAAATCTCACTAGAACAAAGAATTCATGAAAACAAAGATTTCCTTATGGCAATGAAGCAGAATGCTTTTTTTTTTTTTTTTTCTTTTGGGACACCTTCCATCTGTACCAAAAGACAAAACAGCAATAGCCTGATACATGCACCAAAAGAGGAAGGTTACAATACAAAAAAAATGAGTGCACTGAAGGACAGGTCCTGCCACATATAGCATCACATCCATGGAATGTTTTAAGGATTTGTGATCAACCCATGCAGAAAAGCTTTCCATAAAGTTCTTAACAGTTGGTGTGTCTCAAGGTAAGCTTTCTGGGGTCTTGTGAACTAAGGAATTACTCAAGGAGGAAATACATATGAATTATTCCCTCATCTTCATGAGGGAGAACAAATGCTTGGGACTGCATACCTCACCTATGGGTGTTTAATAACAGAGAAGAAAGGGGAAAAAAATAAAAGCAGTAACATATCTCCTTTTTAAGATAAATGCACAACTTTTCAAGTGCAAGGTTACACACAGGCCTGTGGACCAAAATGCAATTTCAGATGAGTTACAGCAAACACGTGGTGACAAGCCAGTTGGAGAGTTTAAATTCAAGTATATTGGAACCTGCTTCTTTACAGCTCAGTTTCCCCTCACCTGCATGTACTGCTGGGCACCTACTTATTCCTCATTTTTACTACATGAAAGCACTTGCTTTGACAAGCCTTTTTCTCACGTGCTGAGTTTAACCCTTTACAACACCTGCTGTAACTGTGTACCAAGATGCTGTTGTAAGAAAATGGAGCTGTAAAAAGGATAAAATCCCTTTGTCATCTCATCAAAGGAACAATCCAAATTGTGAACCCAAGCCCTAATCTATCTTTACTAAAATCATGGTAGCAGCAGGCAAAGTCCTTATCTAATTCTACTGCAAATCACAATCAATTGTATTAAAATATATTTTAGAAACACACATGCTGGATCACCTGAAGAATAGCAGTCCCAGCTCATTTGTATTTTTAAGCAGGATTTGATGGCACATCTCTCATCCAAAAAAGTAATGTTAACCCAATCTGCCACCTAATCCCCAAGAGTCTCATTGTGATTGTACAAAAATAATTTAGGGAACCTAACAGTTTAAAACTGTCTTTTCTGATGCCTAAGTGCTTCATTTTAATAGATATTAGCTGTTAAAGATACTCATTTTAACAATGACATTTACAGCTTTAACCAGTCTATCATTGAGCTTAGTGCATCACTTAGCAGGATAGCACTGTTTAAAAAATAATCTACTTGCTTTAATGTATATTGGAGTGTATTAGTTGATGTTGAATTAGGTCATTTTAACCCTTCAGCATTTTTCAGCAGCATGAAGGCATTTCAGACCCTTTTAGTTCAAAATTGCACTAAAAGATACTTCCCCTCAATCAAATTATTCACTTATGTCTCCCCCTTCCATTTAAATTCCTTTCCATTAATTCCTTTCAATTAATTAAGCCTCACAACATAATTGTAAAGTGTTTAAGAGCTACCATTGCCCAGTTTGAAGTTGCAGGCCATATCCATTTGAGATGGATGGAATAACTCCCACTGCTTTGAAGCAGGCCAAAGAGCTGGGCTTTTTCATATCACAGAGAGGACTCCCATCAATTTTTCAGGCACTGGGTCAAGACACAGATGACTGAACCGAAGCCACACACTGCCATATGACATCATAAACCTTCTGAGAGACCACAGATGTACAGATTCCTGCCTGTCTGTAACCACAGCCCTGCCCTTCTTTTGAAACAAAATCATGGGACAGCGGATGATGAAGAAAATGTCAACAGGCTGTATAAACATGCAGTGGAAATCTAAGAAGCTGATTCCTCCTTTGTTGCTAAAGGCAGAAGAGCTGCCATGTTAGATCAAACAGCAAATCCAATTAACACAGTATCCTCTCTCTCATGGTGGCCAGCTCTTAGGAAATGATACCAGAATGATGCTATGCCATCTCAGTATCTTAAAACCAAAAATTCAAACACCTTTCTGAGCCAGACCTTAAATCCAGGTTAAGTATTTTTAGACAACCTGCAGCCTATTCAGGCCCATGTCCATTTCTGCTCAAAATGGAGGGTCAGGGTTTGACATGACGGAATGGGTCCCTGGGTGAGACGGAGTCTTGGCCCTACATGGAAGGATGCACTTACAGGAGATGATCTCCTGACGCTACAGGGATGGTCACTGTGTCTCTGGGAGCAGCTGATGGAAGGTATGGCACACCTGGCACACCTGTGCAAGGCTGTTCTTCTCCATTCCCCGATGAATTCTTGCAGGCAATGGAGCTGCTGCCATCCCCAGGGGCAGATGTCCAGCCCTGTGGGACACTCTGAGGAAGCCTGCAGAGGCTGGTCCTGCACAGAAGCCCAAAGCCACCCCCACACTGCTGTGGAGCTGCTGACTGGAGGCATCTCGCAGGGTATTTGCAGACCCTGTGGGGCAGCCATTTGGCAATAATTTGTCTGTATGGGCGTGTGTGGAACAAGGGAGGGTGCAGGATGCAGGGCTGCACACGCTCTGCTGGCTCCCGCTCATCCCTTTGAGATGGGTGAAGAAAACTACAGAGTGCCCCTGAAACGTTGCCATGCCACTAATTTGTGCCATGGAATAAATATTTTCTCCTCTGTTTTCTCTCTCTTTGCTTAATAATTTGGAAAATTCTCCTTGCTTTCCCAGCTGCTGCTGAGCAATAACTAGCTATTTTTAGAGAGCTAATCACTGCAACTCCACAAAATTTCTTCTGAGTAGTAAAAACTCATTTGCCCTTGCTTTATCTAAGGCAGTTTGGTGTGTAGATATTGTCAGGGCTCCCATTTTCCAGTGAGCATTTGACTATATTGCCATTGAATTTATTTGCCATTTTAGTTTTCCAATAATGGGAGTGCCCCAGAATATTGGAATACTCTTCCACAGCTTCTGGTGGCTATTTTATCTTTGACCCTCTTGCTACATAGCCACATTCTATAGATTTTAATGGCTGTGATGTTCAGATTTCACTGCATTGCTTGGGGCTTGGGATAAAGAAGGTCTCTGGATGGGGAAATTCTGTGCACATGTAAAGTTTGACAAAGGTGCTCAAAATTTTTTAATATCTAAACAACCTTATGAGGAATGCAACATAAAGAGTGGTTTATATACAGGTGTCCAAAACTATTAGATGAAGAGTTAAAACCAGACTTCTATTGTTCTGTCTAGCACGTTGCATTTCTTCAGAGGATATCACACCTTTGCAGAAGATCATCAGACCACAGAGTTATTATTCTGTAGTAACTAGAGGTTAATAGAACCATTTTTCAGATACAGAATTAAAAGAGATTAAAAAGAGACCTTCTTATCCTGAAAATGATGTTACACTCTGTACAAAATTCAGGTTTGTCACATGGGTACAACAACATGTGAAAAGATACTTTATCAGGCTCAGTTCAGGAAAGAATGTCCTATTACAGGAACACATGCTTCCTTTTATCATCTGGTAAATCATCTCTGCTTTCCTGCATAGTAACAGATTTAAGTGTCTGATGTAGTCTCCTGACTTAGAAGTTCTAACACAGAGTAAGTTAAATTTATTTGGTCTAGGGCTACATGAAACAATATACTGATGCATCTCCACACAGCAAAGGACAGCATGAGCATCTGCAGAATAAAATGCTAGCCAGCTGAAGGGATACAATTAAAACAAAAAGAACTTGGGGATACTTTTTCCTTCAGTATGCCATGCAGAACTAAACAGGAAAAGGGTTTAAATTTCCACCAGAAAGCTGAGTATAGCACCAGCTAACACATCCATTTGTATTTACAGGGTGCTAACAAGCTCAGAGCTCTCTGCAAGAGGCTGGACAGCCATGGATGGGGCTGGATGAAAGAGGTAGGCAGTGTCCTCCTATGGAATGCTGAAGAGTTGCTCATAAGAGCTACAGTTCTCTTTGTGAACAGGAATAAATCTCCTGAATTGGTCATGTAGGACAACAACAAAGCTATGGACAAAAGAATATAACAACACCTGGAAAATTAAAACACTCTATGCAATGTAGTGTCAAAGTTCTGTGCATGGTTCTTTGTGAAAATGTAATGTACGAACTTCTGATGAATAGATACAAAATTTGCTGGGTAAATAAAACTGGGTGTTAATTATAAGAAGTTTGTACTATCAAAACCAGCATGTGCTAAGGAAGTATCTGGGACATCACTCCAGGTATACTAAACCATTGACAAATTGCCAGATTTTTGGTTAATAACTTTGCATAGGCTTGTTTTAGATACGGGGTGTGGTACTGGGTTGTTGTCCTAAGGGGCTGATAGCAGACACTACACTCTGAATGTCCCTGTACTTCATCAGGGCAAGGTGTTAAAATCAAAACGCATCCAAAACTGACATCTCAGAAGGTTTCTGAAGTGTTTGCATTCAGGCCATGCAATTTCCACCCGTGTGTGAGAGGGAATATCCAGGGTGCACATCTGACAAATGACACCCTCTTGACAGCCTGGAACATGTCACAGAACAGAAGGCTTCAGGTTGCACATGAGACTGTGCAACTTCTACTTTTGTCTCCCATCTGGGTTTTTGCAGGAGAAGGAAAACCAAAAGAGCTGACAACTTACCACAAGGGATGTCCATACATCTCTACCATTGGAGCAGCATGGGGACAGGCTATTTCATCCATCTAGCCAGCAAGCTTGAAATCTCCACCTTCCTGACAGCGATTTGGGCTCAGTCACTCTGCTGTGTTTCTTCTCATCCCTTGCCTACTTAGGTAATAAGACATTAACACAAAAATTCTGATTGTTTGTTTGATGAACAGCATGAACAAAAGCAACCTATGTGATTCCCTCCCAGAAATCACTAATGACTTAGTGACTTCCTTTCATGGGAGTTTCTTGCACAGGAAGCAAGAGCCACTTGGGTCATTCAGCTACAGAAAAGTACCTCACTCTTGCTTGGACCACTTTCTACCAAAACCACACCAAAGCTCTTTCTTTTTGCATTACCTGACAGTGGGACCAGGACTGCCTCCCACTACAGTCCTTCGTCTGAGAAAATTTTTGGTTCTAGGACCTTGTAACAGACTGCATGAACAGAAGCCAGATCTGTGTGAAGCTCCAGCTCAGATTTCAAAATTCCTCAACATTAGCACACACAGCCCTGTTGATTTGTGTCCCTCCAGTTATGACACCAAGGTTGCTAATGTGGTCATTCCTGTAGAACTCATACCTGATTAGCCAAGAGAACAGATGTGCTGCTCCTAAAATTTGCATTCTCCATTTCCACCTGTGAGAATAATGCCATCAGCTCGTCCATTACTCGTGGAGATTTGAGCTTGAACTCCAGACCCAAATCTTTTTACAAGAGCTACGTTTAACCAATCAGAAATGCACTCTGCAAAAATGCAACTAAACTGGAGCTGGAGAAAGCATCTGTCTCTGATGCACACCATTGTGATGCATTATGTCAGTTTGCATCAGTCAAGCTTGCAGTTTTACTCTGTTTCAGGGGTTTTTTTACATGCATCAAAAGGTTTGTCATTTTTCTGTGATTTAGGTAAAGGTAGGTTAGGTAATACAATTCTGTGGGCTGGCAAGCACTGAAGCAAACCTCAGCTTTTAGCTTTCTGTTCCCAGATGCCTACATTTCCAGTGGGTAGTCTGTCATATGTCTGAAGAAAATGAATGCTAATGAAATAGAAAGTGGTGAAAAGCCTCTATAATGGTAAAAAAGTTTCTCAGCTAATAGAACAGATTCTTATAGAGGCAATTGATAAAGGTTTCCCAGAGCTCTAAAAATAATTATTTAAATATTTATACGAGAAAAGAGTGGAGAACTGAGGGAGGAAAGGGTATATCCCTTTGCAAGTCTGCTGTAGAAGGGATCTTCTGGAGGCTACCCAATGCACACTCTCACTGTCCTGTGAGTTCCAGGGGAAAACTCTTCCTCTGTTCCATAGCTCAGAAACCAGCTTGCTGCTGAGACACACTTCTCTATTACGTTAGAGACAGAGTAATGGATTTTGAACTATGTCTTTTCCCCCAAGTGGAAGGAAAAAGTGTTATGTCTGCTTCAGTCCAGAACTGTCATCACATAGGAACTGACCCCAGACTTTTCAGAAAATTCATAGATTCCATCAGCTTTCTTTCTTAAAATGTCACATTCTTCCACTCTTAAACATTTCACTAAATGCAGGAGCCACAGGAGGCAATACATTGGCCTTGGCAAAGCCAAGACAGGATTAAAGCCCTAGAGCCCATTCAAATCAACAAAACTGTTTCCATTACACTAAGGGGATGGCAATGGGGAGGGAAAATTGCAGGTATTTTGCCAAAGCTTTCCCTAATGTTTTTTATTTTTAATTGAAAACTTGAAAATCTGACTCATTTTCATAACTGACATGCACACGAGCATATGGTTAAAAGAGAGTCAACTTTCCAATCAACCCTGCAGGTCTCCAGAGGTCTGCCACCTTCAGCCAGTAGTTTTTGGAGGATGATGTTTCATTAGTGGATCAAATCCAGACTTGAGCATGAATCCAGCTGGCACATACAAGGCCCTCAAGCTGACAAGCTGTTCCTTGGAGCGTTAGCAATTCTTTCCTCTCCTGCCCTAGCTTTAAAGCCAGCCATTGGCAGCAGGATGGACTGGTTCACCAGGGTATTTCACAGTGATGCTATAACACCCACGGTTCTGAACGGGAGTGCATGGAGTTCCAGGGAATTCTGCATCAAAACTCAGCCTGAGCCGTTATTGATAAGGATTTTCACCAGTGAGTCAGGCCCCCTTATCCTCTGGGAGCAGGGAGCTCAGATGTGCTGCCCTATCCTCCCCCATCTCGCCAGGGGTCCTGGCTGAATCCCCTCTCCTTTCCCTTGCAAATGCCAGCTCTGACTCTTTTCTCAGCTCCTTGACCAGTTTCATTCTGAAAAGCCACTGTGAACTGGTGCCAAAGTTCACATGCAGATAGCGCCCCAGGCTGCTGATAGGTGTAAACCTTCCTCCCTCCTCACACCCTGCTCAAGTGCTCATTTATGAGTAGGCAGATCTTATCAAGGAATCACAGAATAAACTGAGTTGGAAGGGACTCACAAGGATCATGGAGTCCAACTCCTGGCCCTGCACAGCACCAAACCCAGGAGTCACAGCCTGTGCCTGAGGGCATTGTCCAAACACTTCCTGAGCTCTGCTGGGCTTGGTGCTGTGGCCACTGCCCTGGGGAGCTCGTCCAGTGCCCAACCACTCTCTGGGTGAAGAACCTTTATGTTCAGGAGAGAGATTGGTCTTACTTCATTGCTTGTGAAGCTCCATGCTACTTACTAACTTCAGTGAAGAATAAAATAGACTGAAGAAAAGAAAAATCTGTTTTTTCCACATATTTGGTTTACAAACCACAGAAGTCCTTGCTTTTAAGTACAACAACATATAAATTGCTATATAAGGAAACAGGCAGTGATGGCCTGTCTTCAAGGTGCCACACTCTGTGTGCATCAATCACAAAGAAGACCTTATTCTAACAGAAAGTGACCCCTTGAATGCTTGCAGAGCTTTTTTAGCCTTAAAATGATGGCACTTCCTGCATTCTGATAACTAAAATTCTGGACTAGAACTGAGATTCAGATTCTGGTGATACTTGTCCAGGGCCAATTGCCTTCTAGGTCAGCATTTGCCTTCACACTCAAAAAGCAATTCACACAAACACTGGCTTGCTCACTGGTAGTGAAGAAGCATTTCATGAACTTTGAAAGTAAAGACAAGAGCTTTAGGGTTTCAGTCTGGGTTCAAAATTTATGATGTTTTCTGTGCATCACAGTGCAAGGGTGTGTAAGCCAGTCTTAATGGAAAAGCTTTGGTGGCATTCTAGTTAGCTTTGATTTAAAGCTTAATTTAGGCCCTGAAAAGGGTTAGTGCATCTTTACAGCCATCTTGTAATTCTCCAAGAGTCCTGCCATGAAGTTAGCCAAGCCCACATTTCAACACGGCAGGGTCACTTTCAGATCAAAGAGGTACTCAGGCAGCTACCAAAACCCACTGGGAAAAGTGTTACACCTTGTCCAAAAACCTACCAAAAAAGGAGGTAGGTCATTCACATTACTGTTCAAGTACATTCAAAGGAGATGCAGTGAAATAACATATGTCATGTATACATACACATATATAGTCAGTCATGATGTTAAATGAAAACCAAAATTCTAGGTTGGAAGTGGATCTAACTAAATATTTAAAACTCAATATTAGAGCTGAGAGAATAATTGGCAGCAAATAATTCACCCATGAATTCAGCTTCTTTTTCGGCTTGTGGAGTGTCTGCATACAAATTGCCATTTCCTCAGATTTGATCATTACTTTAAATGAGACTCAGTTTTATAGTGTAATTCTTTCCCTGTGTAGGTCGATGGAGAGGAGTCTCCTGTGCTTTTCTGACACTTTGCATCTGAAGCCTGATCTGCAGATGTATTGCCCCGACCCACAGTTTGATGTGCGTGTCCTGTTTGAAAATCTGAGCGCGCCAGTGCAGCACTTCATTTTCACAGGCAGTGGTGTGGGTGAAAGTTGACCACTGAAGTACCAGGAAAAAGCAAATAATAAGCACAAAGTATAGCAGAAAGGTGCTCACTTTTAAATATTAGCAGGTCCTCAGCACTGACAGAACGGGTTGAAGAGGGCTTTTTGCCTCTCCTTACTATAAGCACCTCCAACAGTACCTCTTAGTTCAAAGTAGAAGATCTCGTTTACTGGAATCAATACCAAAGCCCAAGTATTCCTGCAGCTGGGGTGGAAGAAGCCCATGCACCAGTGCAGGCTGGGGGCCAAAGGGATAGAAATGAATACTTTTGAGAAAAATTAGCTGAAGGCCTGGTGGACAGCCTGCAGAGAGGAGTGAGCAGTGTCCCTTACAGCCAACACAGCTGGTGGCCCACAGGGCTGCACAGAGCAGCCAGCTCTGCTCTGGCCTGTGTCTGCAGGGATGGAGCCAGCAGGACCAGGGAGGTGATGATTCCCCTCTCAGCCAGCACTGCCAAGGCTGTACCTGGAGCCTGGTGTCCAGTCCTGGGCTCCCCTGCACCAAAAATGAATACCCTGACTTATTGGAGCAAGCAAAGCAGAGGCCACCAGGATGACTGGAGAGCTGGGAGAAGGTAAGGTAAGGTAAGGAGCAGCTGAAGCAACTGGGTTTGCTCACTTCAAAGAAGAGAAATTAAAAGAGAGATGTTATTTCTCTACAGCAGCAACCTAACGAGATGGTACAAAACAATGGAGTCAGACTCTCCTTGGAACTGAAAAGCAATGACACAAAGGGCTATGGACATAAGCTACAGCCTAGGAAAACTCAACTGGATGTTCAGAAAAGCTCTATCACTGTCAAGGTGGAAACCACAGGAGCAGGTGGTGCAGAGGCAGTGTGGAGTGTCTGTCCTTGGAGGCAGTGAAAACCCCACTGGACATGGCTCTGGAGAACCTGTTCTCACCAGACATGCTCTGTGTGGGAGGGGAGACTGTTCCACCTCTGGAGGACTCTTCCTACCTGTGTGCTTCTGTGATTCCCTGATACTCCAATAAATATTTTTCCAGTCCTTGGAGCAAGTCCAAAATATTTTTACACCGCCAATCTGCATTTCAGTGAGAACGTAAAGATTTTTTGTAGCGATTTCTGCCTATGAAGAGATTTGGAATATGAAAATCCACCCCTACAGAGATAGATTAGTGGCAAAATGAAGGCAACAAAACCAAAGGGGCAGAATTCCTTAATGGTTGGGGGTTCTCTGTGAGCATATCTCAGCTCAGCACGACTGACTTACGGTCTCCCTGATTTACACCAGCAGAGTGCTCCACGTTGAATCTTAAGGCTGCATAAATGAATGTGTTTCACAGTTAACATAACCTCATATATAGTGCTGCTGATTTAAAGACATCTAAAAAGTGCTGTCCTTCTCACTGTTGTACTGGTAGGAACCTGTGTACACCTGTGATCTCTGACTGGCAATGTTACTGTGTCAGACGCAGAATTATTAGATACTGAAATAAACCTCTGCTTTTAATGACTTAAACTCATGCAAGAGGATGCTGGATTTGAAAGCCAGCAGAAAAGCCCTAGGCTGTTTGAGAATTCAGATTCAAATTATTTAGTTATCTCTAGTCCTCTCAGATATCTATAAATATCTACACTCCACGGGGTGCTCATGCAATTTCTGATGGTTTACCAGACTGAAGCCACCTCCTCAACTGTAGGTTAGAGTTGTAACTCCTTGATATCAATGAAAAGGCAAGGGACTTAGTTATGAAGGTCATTTTTCAACTGAACAGTTAACTGGAGGGCACCACAGAATGAGTTTAGCTCTCTTTTGTCTCACAAATTTTGCAATCAAATAATATAAACTTGAACAAAGGCATTAAGGAGACCTCTTTTTCCAAATGCTATGGAAAAAAATTAACTAACTTCGTAAGGTAAAAAATTAGAACATTTTCATTAACACAAAATGTTCTTTTTAATTAGGATTTTGCAAGCTAAGTCTTCTAATGAATGAAGAAATGGAACTTCAAAAATGATTTGAATTGCTTAATTTTTTATTCTTCTCACTGAGAAGAACAAATGTAACTTTTTGCAAAATATATTCAGTTTCTAATTGGAGACTTTTTAATTAACTATTTAATGGCTGGGGTTTTCATCAGCCTATAGAAATGCATTGCTATGAGATGGCTGCTCTCCTAAATAACCCTCAAGAGCTCTGAGTGCTTTAAGAATACAGTGCAAACCATGATGAGACAAACGTGGTGGGCAGAGCTACAGGCAAATTACTCCTACAGAAAATGGGTCCAAGAGGTCTCCAGGAGATATTTTTTCCCTTTTTAAGGAAGCAGTTACAGGGCACAGAGGATAATGAATATAGGGACACATTTACTGGGGAGACCCATGTAAACATGGGTGCTGCTGTGGTGTGGCCGCTTTGCTGGACCCACGCTCTGGGAGGTGCCAAGAGAGGACAGAGGGCTTTTACACCTGACAGTAGTAACACAGCAGACCACAAGCAAACATGAAGCAAATTAGCCCTGTTGAGCACTTCACATCTGGACACAGCTGGTAGGACCTGGCCAGAG